TTCTGTGCTTCCTGGTCTCCACAGTGGAAGATGAAGGTTGGGACAAAGAGTTAAGGAGTTAGTTGAGGAAGTGCATCTTATGAAGCAGCTACACACTATCAACAGTATAGACACATTAGCAAGCCTTAGCCCAGTTCAATGCTATTTTGCCTCAACTCAGGCCCAAAGCAATGGATTCCCACACTTGTTCTGAAATCTTTTCCTCAGTTGTATATATGGTCCCCGAGGTTGACATACGATTATTTAGTGGTGAAACTCTAAGAGAGCTATTGGATATTTTTAATATTTCCTACCTTTAGCTCTCTTTTTTCCATCTTGGGTGTTCTCAGTTTGTTGAGCTGTGGACCGCAGAACAATTGCCTCTCTGAGCTGGCAAGAGGAGTCTGCTGTACTCTTGGTTAGGCACCAAAGCAGGTGGGGAACTCTTTCATAATTTCAATAACAGGATGCCCCCTTTTCTCTCCAACACTTGAGTGACTGAGAATCTTGCACCATGCATTCTTTTAGGAATGAAAATTTTGGGTTTTGATTGGCTGGTGTGAATTCCGTTCTCTCTTTGTCAGAAGTCACAATTGGTACCTTCTGGAACATTAGGTCATGGTTGGAGCAAGTGAATGAATGCTCTCAAGATCTCAAGAGCATCAACACTGGAATCATTAAGGGTTTTCCCCAGAAAGATGACCAAACCTTTCATCAGAACAATATGTGATAACTGCTGAATTGGTTATTTTAAAGCTGTTTTGATTCTGTTACTTCTTTGGTACTCCTGCTGACTAAGACATTCTTGTGAACCCCAGAGACATCTGATGCATAGAGAAAGGAGTGGATACAAGGATTAGTTTTAAAAGGAAGCCCTAACTCCTCTTGACCATGCTGAGTTGTGATCAGTCTTGAAGACTGTAGTGTCTTTCCTACTCTGTCTACCCGATCATTGGGGGTCAATTCAAGTTGTAAATATCCAAATTGTGAAGTAGTAGGGTAACACCACATCTGTATTTTGGTTTTAGACAAAGTGAAAAAAATACCAAGTGTTTGAAAAAACAAAATCAATGGGAGGAGAGCCCTCTCACTAACAGCCTCACTTTGTTTGGCAAAGAGGTATAAAATAATCAGGGAATATTGTGTCTGGTGGTGTACAGATCTGTCTAGTAAGAATACTGATTGAAAATTCCAGGGGCTGGAAAGATGGCTCAGTGTATAACAGTATTTGCTGCAGTAACTTGAGGGCATGAGGTTATAGCTCAGCACCCAAGTAAAAAGCCAAGTGTGGCCACATGTTTGCATGTAACCCTAGTGCTGTGTAGAGCAGAGGCAAGGGGTGCTTGGGCCTTGCTGGCCAAGTTCAGTGAGAAACCCTGACTCAAATGAGTAAGGTAGATATTGGGATATCCTTTGGCCTCTGGGAGTTCATAAACAGATGCATACTTGCACACCATGTGTGAGGATACGCACATACAAATGCGCATGCAAACATAAAAACACTATTACCTGAGGACTGAGGTAAAGGCAAAGGCTGTATGGTGTGCATCTTGTTGCATCAGGTCAGTTGCCCCGGGGCACAGGGGAACCAGCGGAATGACTTGCTTTAGAGTCTTTGAACTTTGTTGCCTGTAACCATGTTCATCACTGAACCTTGGATACAGCAAAAAGGGAGGTGACATAGGATATGCAACTTGAAATTGAGAAGCTGGCTTGTATTTTTGAATGGAGAATTTAATACTTTAAAAAAATGATTTAAATGGTTTCCATTATGGGAAGGAAATGGTTTTAATGAGGGGTCTTCTTTTAGAATAAGGAGGTCCTGCCCAGATCTTCCTCTTGCCTTTCTTTGCCAGGACTTCTCCAGGTCAAATGTAAGTGGGATTCTAGTGAAGTAAGTGGAACGCAGAGTCCCAGAGAGGGATTCTCTCTTGATGAGTAGTATTCTGTTTTAAACAGTGAGATGCGTTTTCATAAGAGTTCTCATCCGAGCAGTGCTAGCTGCTTTTCAATTCAAATTCAGCCCCCGTGCATCTTCAAAACAGAAAATCACAAATTAAATTAAAAATCTTTTGGCAAAGCTGCCAAAGATTTGGCATAATGTATTACATAACCCCCAAAGTAAGCATTCTATTTGTATAAATTTGGGGGATAGTAAAACAAAATTCAAAGCCTAAAATTTCAGTATTGGCATTATTTAAGGACTGATGTGTTAAAAAAGCTTCCACATCCCTCAAACTTCTATTAACCCTGTTTCTTTGGCATTTTGCTGACATCCTAAAGAAAGTTGCTGAGGTGGCAACATTTCCATGCTTTATTGCACATGAATTTTAAGTGATATAATTTTTCTTTTTACCCCCAAATTTGTCAAATACAATCTGTGAGCTTATTGTTTCAGCTGTGCAGTTTCTTCTGTAATTGCAGTTGGTTGTTTTTACTCTTTGGTTTTTGACTCTTTAAGCCCTGCCACTTGGCTTTCAAATAAATACACAGAGAATTATTCTTACTTATGAATGCCTGGCCTTAGCTTGGCTTATTTCTAGCCAGATTTTCTTAACTGAAATTATCCCATCTACTTTTTGCCTCTGGGCTTTCTACCTTTCTCTATTTCTGTATATCTTTTCTTTCCTTCTTATTCTGCATCTGGCTGTGTGGCTGGGTTACTGGCCCCCAGCATCCTTATCTCCTTGTCTCACTCCCCTCTCTTCTCTTTTTCTTCTTCTATTTATTTTCTCTCTCTCATAGCCCCGCCTATCCCTCTCTGCCTTGCTATTGGCCATTCAGTTCTTTATTAGTCCAATCAGGTGTGTTAGGCAGGCAAACTAACACAGCTTCACAGTGTTAAACAAATGCAACATAAAAGAATGCAACACATTTTGCCTCATTAAACCAATATTTCACAGTATAAATGAATGTAACACATCTTAAAATAACATTCCACAACATGTAATATTACATGTCTTTTATTCTTCTATAATAGTTATAGGAAAATAATAGTAAAACATTTTGGTGCAGTAATAACTATTGATATGATTTCTGGAGGCATAGCAAAAGGATTGAGGGTTCTGTGTCTTTTCTAGGCTCCTAGATGTTCATTCTTTTTGCTTTTTTTTTTTTTGTATTGCATTGACAGGAATTTCTATTCATTAACTCACTGCTCAATATACTACCATCCTCTGCCAAATAACACCTTAAATCACAGTGGTCTAATAATGTAAACCTTTCCCATTCAGCCCTTTACTATATCAAACTATACATTTTCAGGAGTTGTGTGTTGTGGTACATGCTGCTAACATAAGCATTGGGTGAGTGGAGACAGGATCAGGAGTTCAAGACCAGTCTTGGCTACATGAAACCATCTCAAAAATACTCTTATTTCCTTTTTACTTTTATTTTCTCAAAGTTTCCCTTCCCTCCCCTCCCCCTAGTCTCTTTCCCTATCTCCCTTCTCCCTCAGATCAACCCTCTTCCATTTTTCTTTAAAAACAAACAAACAAACAAAAAGAGCAGCCCCTCTCAGAGATAACCACCAAGTTTGGCCTAATAAGATACCATAAAACTTGACACAAACCCTGAATGAGACAACCCAGTAGGAGGCAAGAGTCAGGACACCCCCCCCCCATAATCATTAGGTGATGGAGGTGGGTCTTGTAATAATAAAGAAACTGCCTCGGCCCTCATAGGACAGAAAATTAGGTAGGCGGAGTAGACAGAAGAGAATGCTGGGAAAAAGAAGCTTAGTGAGAGAGTCGCCATGATTCTCCCGCTCCAGACAGATGCAGGTTAAGATCCTCCCTGGTAAGCCAGCTTGTGGGCTACACAGAATATTAGAAATGGGTTAGAACAATATGTAAGAGCTAGCCAATAAGAAACTGGAACTTGTGGGCCAGGCAGTGTTTGAAAGAATACAGTTTCCGTGTAATTATTTCGGGCATAAGCTAGCCATGAGGGCGGCCGGGTGCCGGGGACGCAGCCCTGCCGCCGCTCCTATTTCAACAATTAGGAGCACCTCAAGAACACTAAGCTACACAACCCTAAGGTATATGTAGAGAATATAGCTTAGACTCATCCAGGCTCTGCGATTGTGGTTTCAGTCTCTGTGAGTTCCTATGAGCCCTGCTTAGTTGATTCCATGGGCTGTGATCTGATGGTGTCCTCTCCTCAAACCCCCTGGCTCCTATAATCCTTCCTCCCCATCTTCTGTAGGGTTCCCCAAGTTCTGCCTAATGTTCAGCTGTGGGTCTCAGCATCTGCTTCCATCAGCTGCTGGGTGAAGCCTCTCTGATGACTGTTGGCTTAGGCACCAGTCAATGAGTATAACAGACTCTCATTAGGAATCATTCACTGACATTTTGTCATGTTTGGTTCTATCCTGGGTCTCTGGGCTGACCTGGCTCTAGCTCCTGGCCATCCAGGCACTGTCAGATGTGGGCTTCCTCTCATGGCTTGGGCCACAAGTTGTACCAGTCATGGATTGGACACTCTTGCAAGTTCTGTGCCACCATTGTCCTAGCACATCTTTTAAGATTGCAGTGTGAAGGCTTTGTGGCTGGGCTGATGATGTCCTAGTTCCACTGCTAGGAGCCTTGCCTGGGTAGAGAAGATGGCCACTTTGGGTTCCGAATCCCCCATTGCTAGGAGGCTTCATTAGGTCCACTCCTGTAGATTCCAGGGAGTTTCCACTGCACTGGGTCTCTGTATTGCTCCTCAGATGCCCCCCCGTTCCAGTCATTTCTCCCAGTATTCTTTCCTGGCATCCCTCCCACCCCACCTGATCCATCCTGTTCCCATCTCACCTGCCCCAAGTCTGCCACAAAATCTATTTCCCCTTCTTAAAAAAATCTAGATAAATGCATTTTCACCTTACTTGGCATTAACTTATATGAATTATTTTAATTTGGGATATTTTTCTACAGGAAAAGAAATGAACACATGTAATTTTTTATATAGAATAAACTTTATTTTTTAATTAAAGACACAGATCAAAAATAAAAGTTTTATGTACATATGACATAGTGCAAACAAAAGACCTTAAACACCATGGGTAGACACGTTGTTGGAAACAAAAGGATGATGGGGTGGGGGAATGGGCTTAGGAAGGTCGGCCTGGAACTGCAGGAGGGGGTCGCCTAGTAAAAACAAAACAAAAATAATAAAAAAAGAAAAACATGTAGAGGGAGAAGACAATGTTTAAATTATAAAATAAATCCAAATAATGGCATGCAAAAATATTCCACAAAAGTCTAATTCAAAGCAAAGAATAAACAAACAAACAAAAACCCAAATAAAGCAAGAGACCAGGCAGTCATGCAGAGACGTGAAAGCACACCGCACGGCAGAGCTAGCAGCGATTCGGACTCTCCCAAGGCACTAGCAGCATGCTAAGGCATTTGTGCCCGTTCAAAAATGTTACCCTGTTAGACCGTGGCATTCTAAATCCTTGCCATCAAACTTAGGTGTATTAGGATCAGTATTAAATATATCTTTTAGACTGCATACTTGATTTCTAACTCTAATTTTATGACTCCCCCGAGTTATTTCTGAAGATGTAAATGGTGGACAGGAAGTGCTCTAAGGTTCTGTTGACTGAAATCAGTTCACTCCCTCAGGCCTTCCACTGGCACCTGACTAGTGAAATATTTTTCAAAGTGAGGAAATTAATAGGTCTCAAGATCAAATGAGCAACATCATCCCAGCACAGCTCGGGAGCTAATTTACAGTTAGGAATTTGTAACTGAGAATCTGAGGTGAATGGTTGTGCGGTATGGCAGCCTAGGGTTGGTCTAGGAAACATAGTAGGCCCTGGGTGGTTCTTGGTGGCCCCAGGATTTGTGTGAATTCCCTCTTTCTTAGAGCAAGGAACAGTGAAAATCCTGATTTATTGGGAAGCAAGTCCAGGGTATACAGACTCTGGTTTTTTGGATACTTCTCCAGATTCCTAGCCTGCCTCACTTCCCATGAGTTGGGGAGTCGGGGTCCAGAGCTGTGCTGCTGCCTGACATAAGCCGCTAGAATTTGAGATTATTTCCAGCTCCAGGGGATACAGAAACCTCCATGTTGCAAGGGACAGCTTTGTAGCAGACAAAGGACAGGACAAAGAAGGACCACAGAGTGGGTTCTAGCAGAAGTCTGCACTTCAATTCCCTCTTTCTAACCGAGTCACTGTGAACTGACTCTTGTGGCCCTGTGAGATCATCTCAAACCCGTCCCTCTGTGGGACTTCACCTTGAACTACCTGGCCAGATATTCCGCAATGTACTTCCTTCTTGCTAAAATGATAGTTGGGTCTATAAAAAGCAAAACCCCAAATGCTTCCTTTTGCTTTTTTTTGTTTGTTTGTTTGTTTTTTTTGAAATCTTTTGTGAGATGTTAACGGAACCAAACTGAGGGGACTTTTTCTTGAGGAGTGGTTACCTTTCCCAAAGTCCTGAACCAATTTTTCTCCAGTCCAATTTAATCTGGCTACGCTAAGGAGGCCTCCCATCTATTTAAATGATGAAAAACTTGTTCTTAGTCCCTGACCTACCAACTGTGGGGGGCCTGCAAGCCTTGGGCTTTGAGAGATCTCAGTAATGGTATCCCTGGTGTTTTCATGAAGAAAGTGTAATTGCATTTCTGTCAGGCTGAATGAGATTTATCACCTGCCCAGCAAACGAACTATTTTTGAGTTCTGAAGGGGCTGTAGAACACTCTAATTACCTCAGCATGGTGGGGAGGTGAGCCATTAAACCTAACAGCAAGTCCACAGTGTTGAAGAGACATTCTGCGAGCAGATGCCAAGAACACCTTCCCAAGGGAGCCAGTTTGGTGTTCCAACCCAGAAACAGGATCAGACATATTATGCCCTAAAACAGATTTCACTGGCAGCAGGAAAATATGCTTTAGACATCATGGTGACATTCCCTCAGCAGCTCCTTTCTTTTCATCCTCACTTACCCCGTATTGAACGTTCCTGTTGCTGTCAGGAAAGCACCACTGATTATAATAGCGTCACTGGATCTGTTAGTTCGGCCATGGATCATGACAGTTTTTTTTTTTTTGCTATTCCCTTTTCAGAATTTTATATTTATAGAGTGTTTGAAGGCAAGTGCTGAACATGTGTGGTTTACATGGAAAGACTACAAAAGTCCTGGAGTACTGAATTAACACATTTCAGAACTCAATAAATATATTCGCAGACCCATATAATGTAGTTGAGCTGCCAGTGCTTCCGGATGTCCGTCCTGAGCTGGGACTTCACCTTGCTCTGACACTTGAACTCGTCACACAACTTTTTGTTGGTGTCGGCAACTGTAAAGTAATCACCACGTCCAATGGCTTTGCCTTGTGCCTAGTGTCCCCAAAGTGCTGTTTCCTGAAGCACGTGACTTAGAACACTAGTTCTGTGGGACGGTGCATGAATGAAGCTTTTCTGATCAAGGAAGTCGGAGAAGCTTGTGGACACTATCACTCCAAGAGTCAGTGTAATCTTATTTATTTTCTTTCAGTAAAAGCCATTTACATTGTAACTGCCATCTCCCAAAGTATACCGATAAAATCACTTTTAGTGTCTGCGTACGAGCTTTATTCCAAGCTCAGGAGAGGCGCTTTGGGAGGCTTTGAATTAAGTCAGTAATTTTAGTCAATATCTCTTGCATATATTCTAATTCCTATGTCACTCCAGCACCAATAAACAACCCATTGTGTGACAGTTATCAAGAGTTGGGAGAAGAAGGTGGGTGGAGTCAGGTTGAGTCTCATGAGACCAGATGCGTTTCTCAAAGTGCAATTAAAAGGTTGTGGCAGAAAGATGGGAATCTTGAGAACAAATCAAGCAGAGATTTAGAATGATGACAGAATTGCTTTGAAAATACAAATGGAAAGGTGCCAAAGAGTGACAATACTGTCCTTTGGGTTTTTAGAAATTATTCTGAATATTATTAGCATGCGTTAGAATAGCGTGCTTAAAACCAAACACAAATGACTAGCCTGGTTCCTACCCACAATCTCCCCCAGTAGGCTCCGTCCATTGAAGGCATGGTTTCTCCGTTTGTGGGAAATGGATAGAGAAGGAAATTGCAGCTGAGAAGAGCAATATGTCCAGCTCTTTCCTATGATTATACAATCCTGCTTGTGCCTGGCAAATTAAACCAATATTTCTCTTTCTTAACCCCTTATTGTCTTCACTTTGGTGGCACAGCCTAGAACCATACATGGTTAGGGAGCTACCATCAGAGCTAGTAACCAAGAGTGTTTATCATCTGGAAACACAACTAGGAAAAGGATTGTCTGTACCTACTGAGCACTTATCTTTTCTTCTTACTGGACACATTGCAGGTTCACTTCCTCTTTTGTGCCCCGTGAGCAGGTAACACACACTAGCCAGGTTCTCAGCGTTTGTCTTCTGTTGACCTAACATGTAAATAGGCTATCCTTCCTCCTACTTCCTGGTTTTTCCCACAAAGACTTCTTTTCTAGCAGCAAACGGTCACATGGCTTCTTGGCAAAGGTTTTACTGGGCTGCTGTCTGAGGTTAGAATCCTACAACCTATTATTCCAAATCAGTAGGAAGTGTCGTTTCCCCTCCCCCCCTTTGATTTACCTGATCTGCTCTAGAAATCTTCTTCTCTTAAGGACAGGAATGCAAAACCCTATCACTCTCCACTTTAGTAATGTTGGACGAATCTGAGCAAAGGGGCACTAGGAATTTACTTGCAGGTGTTTCCGAAATGCATAGGCTCAAATGTATACAAGAATGAGGAATTGGGGATTCCTTCAAAGGTAATAATTTATTTCAGGTTCGAAATACAGTTTCACATTTTCACAATAGGTACATGACCTTCAAGGATGATACAGGCTTTAGGAATTTGCTTCAAAAATCCCATTCACAGAATCCATATTAATCCAGCATTAAGAAATTCCAAAAGTGCCAAAAAAAAAAAAGAGAGAGAGAGAGAAACAGTGAAAAGTATTTTGGCTCATGTTAATTAAAGAATAGACAGAGAAGACAATATTTGACTACTACATACTCATGATTCCTAAAAAAGCAAAAAGGAAATTTGACTCAGAACAGGGAGAGAAGAGGAATACATACAAGTCTATGAAACAAAAGCAGTGTATATGGACTCAAACACCCAAGGTCAGAGTGCTAGGGTTTCTGAGAAATGATTTCCACAGATTGGCAGCAGTCAATAAAAGACAGTGGGGTAATTTTTGTATAATTTGAAAATATTATGAGTAAAGTTTGGGGAATTTAAAGGTAAAGGCAACAAGAAAAGTCATGCCTTGAGCGGAGTCACATGTGAAGCCCTTGACCAGAGGAATGCGAAGTCACCCCAGAACACCAGCACGAACAGACCTTAAACAGGAGATTCTCTGAGGTTCCCGTCTCTTTCTCTCACACACACAAATATTTTTACATGTATTTATATATACACAACTAACAATGCATATACTATATATACGTCAAAAACATCGTTAAAGTTTCACATACAGAGCACCACGAATTTAAGCGTTTCTGCTAGACAGACAGCCTATTTTTTGAAAGACAAATTGAGTTCTTTAGGAAAGCCTAAATGATCTGATGAATTATCCATTGTTTCTCTAAAATAGGCTTCATTCACAGGAACTCTGAGTTCACAGCTAGTAGTCCTAGACGAAATGACATAAAACTCATGACTTGAGTCTTATACACAATCATCTCTCACTGAACTATGATAGTTTGAAGATCTGTTTAAGCTTTATTCTCCATCTTACAGGGATCCCCATTGATTTAAAGTTATTCTACAGTTTTCCAAATGCAAAAGGTTCACCTGAAAGAGTAGCTAGCATGCTTCCAAGGAATTAAGCAACCTGTTCCCTGAATGTGTGACAGTTTTGCTCGGAAAGATACATTCCTTTCATTATGCTGCTGACTCTCTGTATTCTTTTATCTTTTACTGCAGAGAACAAACGAGCGTACAGATCAACTTAGCTTCTTAAGAGTCAGCTCAACAATCCTCAAATATCAGGGTTTAGAGAAAAGCTTCCAAACCTCATCCTTTTTAGCAGAGTATCGCTAAAGGGTAATTCCTTTAGGCAGCAGTGCTGTGGGTTTCAATACTAATGACTATAGACATTACTCTACCTTATCATGGTTATCATAAGCTTTGTGCCCCTCAGGATATATACGGTATGAGTTATAAAATCTTGCATATCTCATGTATGTTATGAGAAATGAACTACTGTAATCACAAGTTATGGCAGATCTTCCCAACATAGATCATACATTAGCACAGTTAAAAAATATATTCATATTCTTACATACTGAGCACAGATTTACACTGATATTTATGCTCATACATATACATATATATATATATATAATGCACATGTTATCACATTCATGCTAAATGGCACTTCTGCAAGTGCTTTTGAACCTACTTACTCAAACAGGACACAGATACATGTTTCCTATGTATGTAGTGGGTTGCTGGAGACATGCAGAGAAAATGAGTACAGAGAAAACCTCGAGACTCGTCATATACTGGTATCAGGTCCCATTCTGTATTTTAGAGTTATGACTACAGTCTAGAAATCACAGATTAATCTATGTAGCTACTTAATTCTAAATTCAGAGTGCTTATATCACATGAATTGTTTATTATGCTTTTGGATAGAATGAGTATGTATCTGCATGAACAGCGGAATTGCGGATGAATAGACCCTACTGCTCTTTTATATGCTATAAACACATCTAAAAGCAATTTGTTAGATGATTTTTGAGAATGTATCTGTTCTAAATCAATACTGTTTCATAGTCTATCCACAACTGAGTAAATGGCTATTCCAGTTAGCCAACATGCATGCAGAATTTAGCATGTGACAGTAAAATTGCATTTACTTATCAAACGAGTACAGTTAATTTTTTTCAAATCCTAAAAACACTGGGCTTATTACGATGATGATGCTAGACAAGATAGAGAAACATCTATTGTGCTGACATGAGAAGCATCAGTCAGGAGATGAGAGATGGGATGGGAACTGGAGGGCCCTTCAGTCTTACATTCCCATCTTAAGGCCTGATGCGCGCTGCCACTCTGCAAACTCTGCACACACCAGAACGTCAGGTTCCACTCACGCTGCTGTCTCCTCTTAGCAGGATGAAAACCCTCCAAACAGAAAATATCCTGGAATACATTGCTGAAATTCTGGGGGTGGGGTGGACTTGGGAGTGCTGGGTGCCACCAGATATAACACAGTATCAAAGAGACCAAAACTGTCCAGACAAATAAAGACATTTGGGACAGGGCATCTGTGGATCAAGAAGCAAAAGCCAAAGTTGACAAATGCCATTGTTATGACGGTCTAAGATCAGTGGGAAGAAACTTGGAGAGACAAATCCCCAGTTTGCCTTGCCATTGGTTTGTGCTGATCTGAGACTACACCAGTGCTTTTCTACAATACTTTCCTCTGACAGAAGGAAAATTTTGAAAGACAGCAAGATGCAAAACCACAGTAAGTACACAGCCAAACCCTGAAGCATGTGATTTGTTAGTTGCTTATTTTAGAGAACTCAAAGGAAGAAGCAGAGCAAATCCTAAGAGGAGGGAGTTTTGTCTGATTATGAAGGTTTGCTTAATGTTTTTCCATTTAGCTGGGTCACCTTTTTCAAAAACAATATGCATCTTGTATATGAGTTCCATTCCCGGAGATTTATTTTCCAATGGGAAAAATGAGAGAAGTGAGGAGTGATGATATTATGTCCCTTTTGTATGCCAAATATAAGTGGAATATAGCCCATTAGAATAAGTTCAACGCAGTGCCATTTAACTTGGAATTATTTTCTTTTTAAAATAATGGTTAAAAGTCTTTATGTCATACTTTAGGGCTACCTGCTTTGGCTAGAAACTACACAGGAAATTAAAATGAAGTTCACATATAAATCATGTTTGCTGCTTTCAAAGGGAGACACCGCAGTTAGTAAAACCTGATTTACTTCTGTGACTACGGAATAATGTCATGGGACGCACAATTCAGTGGATGCTCATTCGGCTGCCTGGGAGCAGTTAGCTGACAGCATCCCAGTTGGCTTCTAGCTGTTTTCTACATGTGAATCATCTGGCCATATGTAGGTAGTTCAAAACTTAGCCTCAAGGCTAAACTATTAGCCTCTGGGCTAGGCTGCTCTTGTAAGTTTTAGAAATCCTGCCCATTGAAAATTTGTCTGCAGATCAATATTGCAAAGGCATTTTGGGGGAGCAAGTTGGAGCAGGGCATCTGTAAACATGTGAGCTGTGCTCTTAAACCATGGTATCCCTGAGTTTCCATACCAGGGACGATACTTTCAATGCAACCGTGTCATTACGCTGCAGGAGTTAAGAGAGGCTGGAATGGGTAGAGACATTAAAGTTGTTTTAAAGGGATCCTTGCATACTCATTTATATGTAAACCATAGGAATCATGTATTAATTTACATTTAACTTTGCTTCAGTCAAAACAATAATCATAAAAACTAAATGGAGTTAATTACCCATGTCAAAAAAATCAACTGTACAATTAAATATTTTTAATGTCAGCCTTTCTTCATTAGAGTCTATTAAGAAGTAAATACATAAGATAATAAATTATGTTTCCCCAGACACTTTTAGAAAGGTGATATTTTTGCTTCTTCCTTGAACTCTGAAAGTAGCCAAATATATTAACTTATTTTTGGTTCTTACCAAAAAACCCAGGCATTGCTTCGCTGCTGCTTGAGCTTCTAGCTCGAAGCACAGTTCACTGGTTCTGGGAGGAGCTCCCTAGAGCAAACCCTGCAGGCATTCCCTCTGCTGACTGCCTCCTGCTCCTGAAAAGCTTCCACCTTCAGTAGCCTTAATTTTAAAACCTCGCCTCCTAGCAGTCTTATGAAATAAGGAGAAGAATTCTAAATAGGTGATTGTGGAGTAGGTGGTGGCATTAATATCAGACAATAGTCTCTGCCATCCTAAACAGAATGTGGGAAGAAACTTGTGCGGCTCAAAGCTCATTCTTACGTTTGTTAAGAATTGTTATAACTGCTCTGTAGACATCTGAGAAAACTCTTCAGACATATGTTGAGTAGACAAATGGTACCAAAGTATAGGGCTGCTATACAAAACTACCTTGGTCAGTTAAGGTTAACAGTTAACATGTTAAGTCTTTCTACAGGTTAGCAGTTCTTCACGTCAAACCCCAAAGGTCTGGTATACCATGAGCAATGAAGATGGGTGATAGATACATTAGTAAAACTGGCTACTTGCCTATGGATGTCCACACATGCGCGTACTCATGGTTGACCGCAAAGCTTACAGAATATGTTGCTTTTGCAGAAATCGTTAGTGATTAATTGCCATGCCAGACACTCCATTTAGTCTAACAGTGAGGATTCTAGTGGACGGATTATAGTGGGGCGAGTTGGCGATGGGGGTGGCCTCCGGCTAGAAAAAGAGAAAGAGACAGGTAAAGAAACAGGTATAATAGCAGAACCGTTCTTTTAGGACACTGACAAAGAGCCATCGTGTGCATGCGCATGCAATTCAGGTCAAGAGGAGTAGTGCGCCTCTGCAGCGATCCTAAGATTGTCACCTTTGAGTCCTCCAGCTATCCTAACTTTCAATGGATATTGTTTATTTTTCATTATACAAATATTTATTAAAACCAGAGAGATTTCTCCCAATACTAATACAAATATGGAATAATTTGAAAGCCACCGTGGAACATACTGCACAGATCTCAGACAGTTGAGAACAATAGTTACAGAGCAGTGGTTCTCAAACTGGGTCACAACCCCTTTGGCAGATCTCTATCTCCAAAAATATTTACATCATGATTTATAACAGTAGCAAAACTACAGTTGTGAAGTCACAACAAAAATAATTTTATGTTTGGCGAGGGGTCACTACAACATGAGGAACTATATCTAAGGGTTCTGGTATTGAAGGCTAAGAACCACTGTTCCAGAGGGTGAGCTGTGCTGAGGTGTGCCCCCTCCAGGAACTAATGAGGCATGGTAAGTGTCAACAATGGTCTTGAGTCTTGGTCTCTGCCAGGAAGTTAGTTACCACTTCTCACTGCTCTTAGCCGTGGCTTCCCCTAATTTTTCTATATTTTGCATCTAATTGCGGACCATAGCAAATTGGAAATCAAGGCTTTTTTTTTTTCTTTTCTGCAGTGGTTATGAACAGGCTAGGTGTGAGCACCCATGTAAGCTGCAAGAGTGACTGCTCTATTTGGAGTCTTCCAGGGCTCATCAAGATTTGTAGTGGTATTAGCCAATATCTGGTTGGCCATGGTGTTTCTGAAAGCCATCCATGTGATTAAATGTTATTGTACTTCAGAAGTTCAACACTATCAAGTCATATTATTTATTCTTTGAACACATTTATGTTGCAAGTGTGCTAATGAGCTTTCTCTGTGTGTACTATATACTTATATAATACTATATACTATATACTTTGGAATAGTGTTTTATATTTCTCTAATTCAACACATGACCTAAGTGGAATTTTTTTTTGACTAATCTTCCCAGCTGAGATTTTTTTTTTCAAAAGACTATTTTTAGAATTGCAGTCATGGTTCTGAACTGGAAGCACTCAATTGATTGATTGGATACCTGTTTTCTGGGGTGAAACCCCACAGTTGGAAAAGTTGAAAAAATGATGGGGTGCCTCAAAACCACACCCTATTTCCTGGTGGTTAGAGCTGGTCCTGACATTTGTGAAGGTCCTGACCTTGACAACTGTCATCTCTCAGTTGAGTAACACACACACACACACACACACACACACACACACACACGCACACACACCACACATCACAAGCTATAAGATAAAAGTCAAAGCCCAGGGGAAAGCAGAGCAGAAGGGATATTGTTGATTTAATAGTGAGTCTTGACCACTTAGCATGAAGTCATGGACAGTCCCCTTTTCCTCCTATACCTAAAAATTGGCTAGGAAACACCAGTTCATTCTAATTTAATGTCCTGTGCTAGTTTTACTCTTCAGCAGTAACTAGATTTTAAAAGGATGCATAGAGATACCTATTGGCAGAGGAACAAGCATAACTGATGCTAGCTGTGCAGTGAACAAGACCTTTTGCAGAAAGGCTTCTATGACCACCTGAACTGTTTGGCGATTCTCCATTGGGAAAAAACAATTTTCTTCATACGATTATGCAAAAACAATTTCCCTTTTGTTAGTATAGTCTTCCATGTTTGAGATGGCCATCATCAGTATTCTTTGAGCTTACATCCCAAGTCTTGAACCTATATCAGTTTCTCTTTGGAGGGGGAGGTCACAGGTCCTACGAGTGTCATGCCGTGTTTAGTGTGGTGTTATATGTACTTTTGTTCACACTGACTGTTTGTTCATCTTTCTAGACTCTTCTCAGGGAAGGAGGCCCTCTCTGACCTACTTTCCCCTTCCACTTGCTCCAGTGACAGTGTGGTCAGTCATCACACTAGATTCTGACTAGGGTCACATTTCCATCTTTACTGGTTATTCATCTCAGTATACCCGAAGTGCCTGGCCCACAGCTTACCATCCACTTAGTGAGTATTGGAGAGCTGGATAAATAGAAAAATTATCCTGGAAGTTAATAACACCTGATGTTATATCATCCATTGGTCTCATCACATAGAAACAGTGTTTATTAATAGTGGCAGTGGCCTACATATTTTCCAATTTGTTTTTTAGGTTGTATGGTTTTAAATTGTGTGTGTGTGTGTGTGTGTGTGTGTGTGTGTACACTATGAATGTAGGTACCTGCAGAGGCCAGAAGATGATGTTGAATTTCTCAGAGCTGAAGTTTCATCAGTTGTGAGTTACATTAGGAACAAAACTTGGGTCCTGTGGAAGAGCGGTATGTGTTCTCAACCACTGTGCTATCTCCCCCTCCCATATTGTGTGTGTAGGATTGAAAATTGGAGATTCTTCCTATGAGCTATTTTATTATTCAGTAATTTAGTGTTTGGAATAGTACTAAACAGTAGCTTTGGCCAGGCAGTGGTGGTGCATGGCTTTAATCCCAGCATTTGGGAGGCAGACGGTGGCCAATCTCTGTGAGTTCGAGGCCAGCCTGGTCTACAGAGCAAGTTCCAAGACAGGCTCCAAAGCTACACAGAGAAACCCTGTCTTGGAAAACAAATCAAACAAAAAAGTATAAACAAAAAACAAACAAACAAAAGCCCAAAACAATACCATCCTATCTCTAAGGAGTTTGACAAATAACAACCTATGGAGATGTATTTTTAGTAACTAAACAGTTATTAAATATGGGAGCTGAGAGCCAGAATTGAGACTTGAAGGATGATGACTCTGCTGGGGTGTAATAATACGCTGGTTTAGGAGATGTCAGGCTATGAATTCAGTGAGACTCAGAATACAGAAGAGCAGATTGGATTGTTATATGCAAACATGATAGGTTAGACAAAGGCTTGTAACCCAGAGAGAAAGGAATGCAACTGAGATCTCCTGATCCTTTTGTTCTTGTCTTATATGTCACTTGCCAGCACTTTATTGCCTGAACTCTCAATACATTTAAAGTTTCTGGAGAATAGAGATTGCACATGCTATTTCACTGTGTATATTAAGCATTGAGTACACTGAGATTCAGGAGCAATGAATACATATTGCTGAACTATAGGCAGATGCGTGAGTAACTGAAAAGTGCCTAAACAAGATAGCCATCGAGGTTGGAGTCCAAGCTAGGTCAAGGTGAGCAGGTCCCATGAGGCTATGTGTATAACACGTTGGTGTTAGAGGCTTGTATTTGAGACAATATGTTCACATAGAAAAAATCCTAGAGCAGAAGTTGAAAAATACATCAAGTATAGCTATAATTGCTCAATTGTGTGGGTTTTATTTCTTATGGGCTGTCTGTAGGCTTTTTTTTTCCCGTTTGTAACTCAGTCAGAGAATATAGCAAAGTTTATTCATACATTTGTGCATCGTTCATCAGCTACTATGTGGAGCAGACTGTGCCATTCAGAAGCTTGGAATCTACTCTTGAGAGGCAGGGCAAGTGAACTGAGACAAACGTGCGTGAGGTCTTCACGGTAGCGTTGCATTTTAAATATGGAACAGTGGGGTTGGGATTCTGGAGCTCGGCACCCGAGTGTTCACTCTGATAGCTTGAAACTGTGACGATGTGGTTACAGCAAGAGCAGCGGTGATCTGGAAGACCACACAGAGAGTTTGCCAGTGGTAAGGGATTGTAGACCTATGACGACCAAAGGGGACTCGAATTATGCGCGTCAGAGGGAAGAGTTTGATGGACGGAATCGAGAGTGGAGAGAAAACTGAGGATTTTGATGGCAGAGCAGATTCTCGTTAATCTCGTCAGCCTTGCGCTGGGCTTGGGGTAGGGGTAGCGGTGAACAGTGGTGGGCAGTGGCAGAGAGAAGACTAGGAAGATGCAACTTTTTGCTAGCTGTCAGGTCTCCTATTCATTTTGTCTGTCATACTCCAGAATTTAGCATGATCTTTGGCTTGGTTCATAGTAAGTTTGCTTTTTTTTTTTTCCCCAAATGAATAAATTAGGAAAACCTGTTTACTTGTGAGCTCATTAAGGATGTCCCCGGGGCCAGTAACTGAAAAAAAAAAAAAAAAAAAAAAAAAAAGAAACATAACGGAAGAGCTTTGTTAAGAGGCCTCAACACCCCCTCCATTGCTGTGTGCTGTAAGTTCATGATTCATTCAATTGCTAAATATTGTTGAAAAAAAAAAAAAAAAAAAAAAAAAAAAAAAAAAAAAAAAAAAAAAAAAAAAAGGGGCATAGTAGTGTGGTGAATCAACGACAGAAGAAAAGGATGGAAGGATAAGACACCACTACAGGCCTTCCCAGTGGTTTAGACATCTTTGGAATATACCCAGTTTCATGTGAAAGAAATCCATATATGTGCAATATGTGCAATTAAAAATCCTGAAGAGCCTTGACCCACTTACTCTATTGAAAGAAATGAATATTATCCTATTTCTAAAACAATAAGAAAAGCAGACTGTATTGTAAAACACTGCTAGGAAGAAACTTCAGACAAATTCTAAGACGTGTGCCAACTTCAGCACCAAGAAGGTATATAAGGTTTACTGTTTAAATCTGTTTCACGGGTCTGATTCCCAACCATTCCCATTTCCGAAGTCGTTTACCTCACAAGACAGTTTGTTTGGGGCAAACTTATTTGTTTTGTACCAAATATTCCTCAGTTGCTTTGTTAAGCGATGGGCTTCATTAAGTAATCCATTACATTGAAATGGAGCATCTTGTATCATTTAACACTTATTGAAACACTGTGTTGTGTGTGGGTGGTTTATGGTTATGATAGAAGAGCCATGTTTCTGCTTTCAAATCAAAGCGAAAGATGTAAGACTTGAAGCTGTGGCTGCAGGGATGGCCCGTTTACAGGATTTTGGACAATGACAGTTTTTGTAAGAAAGTCTGATGCTCATGCAGGGTGGGTGGCATTTTGGGCAGAAGCCTTCACTGATAAGGTTGAGAAGCCACCATTTGTTTCCTTCTCTTACTTTATTGTCTTTTAAGAATAGAAGTCTAATTCCAGCTGGCGTTCTTTCTGTTATCTGGCCTTGAGTGTTCATGATGTGAGGCCAATCTTAATGGGTTCAGGGAGACTCCACCAGGATAGACTACATTGTTCACCAGCTTTGGGGTGGTGTGTGTGCGTGCGTGCAAGTGTGTGTGTGTTTAGGCAGGCCAGAGGTTGATGTCAGAGTCTTCCTCAATCACTTTTTTCCCTTAAATTTTAGAGATAGAGTTCCTGGCTTTAGCTAGAAGGGCTGGCCAGTAAGTGCCAGGGATCCTTCCTGTCTCCCCTTTCTCAATACTGGAATCATATTTCCAACACACATACCATTTTCAACCTTTTTCCCCTTAAGTGTGGGTGCTGGGTACCCACAAGCAGGTTTGTTGCCTTTTGTGGCCTAAGGAATGTCACCAAGCTCATTGTTGTCCGAGAATAGTTTGTAGTAATGGATGAAAGTAGAGAAAAAAGTATAGAAAGCCTGGTGTCTGTTTGAAGGGTCTAAAGATAATACGACTCACTACATCTAAGAGATGACATATAGTCTACTGTCAGAATACAGAATATCCTATCACTCGGGAGGCAGAGGCAGGCGGATCACTGTGAGTTCCAGGCCTGCCTGCTCTATTGTAGTTTCAGGACAGTTAGGACTGTTACACGGGGAAACCCTGTCTCGGAAAGCAAAATAAAACAAACCAAAAAACCCCCAAAAACCAAAAAAAGAAAAGAAAAAGAATAACAGAATAAACTCTTGATTGTATATGTATACAAATTTATCACTAGGAAAGTAAGAATCAATTTATGGTACTTGAAATGAGAGCATAAGGAGAAAATTGGATACAATATTTGGTGACAATAAGTTAGTCTCTGAGGCAAATAGAAATAAAATGTGCTTTGTTAAAGTTTATTTAGACTGCTCTATAGATCTGATTTATGTTTCCCTAGCAGGTCTGATGCAATATGCCTACAGCAACAAAAGCAACCCAGCTTTTTAATGATGACTCCTTCCCTTTAAGTCTGTCTCAGTTGAAGATGAGGAAAAGGATTTTACAACAACATTGACTCAGATTATTTCAGGAGATTTACTGAAAGAAAGTGTATTTTTTTTATCGGTTTATAAAATATACTGCATGGCCCTACTTGCACTGGGTTGCCTTGACCAACCTTAACACAAAGGGAGGTGCTTAGTCTTAGCACAACTTAATATGCCATGTTTTGTTGTTGCTCGTGGAAGACCTGCCCTTTCCTAAACAGAAACAGAGGAGGAGTGGACTGGGTGGTAGGCAAACTGGTTGGGATGTAAAATAAACAAATAAATATATATATTTTAAAAGTACACTGCATGGGGGCCAGCCTCCAAAGTAAATTTTGAGTAAGCATTGCAGGTCAACTCATTTTGCATTCTTTCTTTCCCCGTGCATATACAAGGTGCTATGTTGACAGATGAGCAAAGAAATATCACACGGTTTGGAAGGCTTTTTGTTAGGACTGAGACAGGTTGGCAGTGACAACAGCAGCTAAGTGCTAGCAGAGTGGAAGGGGCACTTGGAGTTCTGGCTGAGACAGAGAGAGAGAGAGAGAGAGAGAGAGAGAGAGAGAGAGAGACAGAGACAGAGACAGAGACACACAGAGAGAGACAGAGAGACACAGAGAGAGAGACAGAGAGACACACACAGAGAGAGACAGAGAGAGACAGAGAGAGAGACAGAGAGACAGAGAGATAGAGAGAGACTTCTAGAGCATAGGAAAAGTTGAGGGTCTGGTGTTCCAGAAATGGGAATAGGCGTCTGTAAAGGAAAGGTCCGGAAGAGTGCTACTGTTTAAGAAAGCAAGCATCTCCCACCCTTTATCACAAGCATCATGTGACTTGTGTTTACCTCACATCCCAACAAAGTGATGAAACAACTTGGAGAGCTTAGAGGGTGTTTCAGTGTATGAAACTATGTTTAAAAGACTAGTTGTGATATTGTTTTTTTCTATGTTGGCCTCTGTCCTGTATCATTACCAACAGGTAAGCTGAGGAGAGGAAGGGGCTAAAGAAGATGGAGAGAAGTGAATACAAGAACAGACACTGAGAAAACAGAGGTAGGACCTGGTTTTCCAGAAATTTACAGCATAGGGCTATTGAGTTAAGTCAAATCACATTCCTTCCAGTGAATCTCTCCCTCCTTTCCTATCCTGTCTCCTTCTTCCTTAAAGTTCTTCTTCTCTCTCTCCCTCCCTCTCTCCCCTGGAAAGAGGTCTCCTGGGACTCTGTTCCATAGACCCCATTTCCATCAATGGTAAGTACTAGACCCTTTCTTGTCTCTCTTTTTCCTCTGCCCTAACCTTCCCTGGTCCTCACCTCGCTCTCACCTCAGGCTCAAGGAGAGGGAGAATTTGCTTTTGTAGTCTGGAGGAAGGAAGTGAGGCTCAGAAGTAGGTAACCCGGAAGCAGCTAAGGGAAGCAGAAGCTTCCACTTTTGGGATATGCCGTCCCCTGGCATTTGAAGTCATGGAAAAGAGAAAAGCAGGAGCAGGGAGAGAAAAGACAGAAATCTGCTGCTCTGGTTGAAACAGTAAAACTCACATCTGCTTTAGAAAGGTGAGAGAGACCTTGGATGTCTTTCCGGCAGAGGGGTAGGGCTTGGGGCCGTTGTTCAGAAAAGGTAACTATAACTGGAAAGGTGAGCAGGCCAATTTCTTCTTGAAAAATTGTTTTACTGGGACAAAAATCAATCTGAATCAAAAGATTTAGAAAAGACCAGGCTGCAGCAACATTTTACTCCTGCCTGGTGACACCTGGTGAGTCAAGAGGTCAGTTTTAAATGCACCACACGATACTTTTCTTGCCCTTTGACTGGCAAAAATGGAGACAAAGAACTGCCATGCACCCATGGCCTACTCAATAGTGTTCTTAAAAAATCCAGCAGGGGGAGCTCTAATATGCCTTAGAGCTCAAAAATTTAAAAACAAAAGAAAAAAATTAAAGCAAACAGAAAAACAGAGAGGCATTGTGCCTTGTGAGCTGCCATGTCAGTTAACAAGTATGTGAGGAAGAGAAATTAAATGCTCACTGAGAGGCCAAGTGACAGCACTTTGTGTGTGTGTGTGTGTGTGTGTGTGTGTGTGTGCAGAGTGTCCCACAGTCTTTTCTCTTTCCACAAGCCTATCGCTGTGAAGCAGTTAAACAGGGTTCTCACAAAAGAGGGAGCGAAGCTGACTTCTGGGCAAGCCGAGAAGTTATTCTTTCCTTCTGAAAGGATCTTATTGTTTCTAGAGCAGCCTTGAACACTGGCTCAGAAACCACATTTGAAAACAGAATTTTCATTGTTGGTTGAAGGAGCTACTGAAATACTAAATGGTCGAGTCCCTTGCTCAGTGGCTTGTTAGTTTTTTTTTTCCTTCAAGTCAGAAAAATGCTGTGTTTGTAAAAATTGGTGCTAAAAGGGCAAGAAATCATAGGTCCCCTGGGCCATGTAAAGAAAGAATTAGAGCTTTCACACACACACACACACACACACACACACACACACACATATGCACACACCCTACTGGCAACACAAAGAATTTTCTCAGGAAAACATTGAGGGGTGTATGGACTTAGCTGTAGTCAGACTAATAGTTACCTCCATTCTGGATGGTGGTTGTGGGTGGAATGGGTGAGCGGCCATTCAACATGATCGGAATGACTTAACCTAAAGGAAAACGGTCAGTGATCCCTTCTACTTTCTTGCCAATACGAAGTCAAAGCTTTTGTCTTACGCCTTGATGGTGTGCCCACACCTGAAATTTTTATACAAGCTCCTGCAGAAACTTTAACTAGACCAATTCAGACCAAGAGTCACTAAATAAAGCCAGTCTAGACAGAAAATCTATGGAAACCATATGTCCTTCAGGCGTCTGTCTTACAGAGACGGCCATCGCCCTGGATAAATCCTTCACAAAATATGCTCTTAGGAAACCAGAGCTGTACAGCCACATGGAGAAGAGCTTAAGATGTCGGCTGGACTTAGTGAAAATAGAGCCAAAATGTTTATAAATGCGAGGGTCTTGTTTCCGTGCACATCTGTGTGTAAACAGTTTGAGAGGATGGGCCAAGGTAGATATCATTTATATTTCCATTATTCTAGAAGGATCAAAAACGTTTACAGTTTTCTTCTTCCAGGCTCCCACAGAATGTTAGACAGAGGGATCTCAAAGCCGCTCTGTTCTCACCCGCAGAGAGCTGTTTTGAGTAAAACTGTACGTGGATGTGGCTAAAGAACCAGAACATTCTCTTCTGATTATTACCTCATCCTGCTGGCCTGCCAAGCCCAGCTAGAAGGCAGGTGTCCACCATAAGTAACTTGCGGAAGACTGCTCTACATAATGGTGTGTGGGGCCAGAGTGACAAAGGAAATCAGATCAGGGATAAATAAAGGAGGGGGGGCTGCAAGGGATTTGCAGTAAGAAGGAATGTTCCTAAACCTTGTTTTTCCAAGTCAACATTGCCCTCTGGATGCGAGACAGCAGTGTGACCTCCCTACTCTCACAGGATTGATTACACTGGAAGATGTGCTTTCACTTTTACCAAAGGGAGAGATTCTGCAGGGGGAAAAGTAAAATATGCAAATCCCTATGACAAAAATAGCATTTCAAACGAGAACTGCAAACACTAGGGAGACCACGAAACACTTGTAAATTGCAAAGGTTCGTTGGGCTCTCCCTAGACTTTCACTGAAATTCCCCATTCTGCAGGGAAGGGCACTGGGGAACAATATAGCAGGACTGGAGAGTGGCACTGACATGGGTGTCCCCATGTAATGTCCGCTCATCCAGAAGACTATGAATTATCAGTACGTACCAAATAGACTCACGGAAGAAAGGCCTTGAGTAAAAACAGAGCAAAAGCTGTGAGACCATGATTGGAAGAAAGTCAAAAAGCAGCATCAGCTCAATGTGCCAGTTCACAGAAAACCATGCTTTTAAAAGCTAATGATTCTGACTCTCTTTCAAGTATTAAATATTAAGATGTTGATAGAGTCATTTAGAGTACTGAAAGTATTAAGGCAATGTAAACAATTACATTGGGGGGCAGAACACTAACCATTGCACATTATAGACAAGCAATTATATCAACATCTACTCATTACGGATTCCTGAACTGAACCATAGAGCATCTCACTAGGTTGACTGAAGTCTCCTGATGCGTTTCAGGGATTTTTCTGAGTGCTGCTATTTATTGGTAGTTCTAAAACTTAAAGTTGGCTCTCATGCCAGTGGTTTACATACAGAATATGGATTCAGAATATGGATTTTATTTTGCTGTCAGTCCTAGGTAAGTAAAGGGAAATTCTTCTCATGCTTTGTCTAGTTAACACATTCACTGATGTTTCCTTAATTCTTTACCCCAGAAGCCAATCATTATACTGAAAGCCTCCTGGGGCCCCTCCTTTGTTGGATGGAAGGAGGGTGATGGAGATGAGAGAGGATCTTACTCTATAGATCTTGATGACCTGAACTCACTATGGAGCCCAGGTTGGCTTCAAACTCATGATCCTTCTGCCTCAGCCTCCTAAGTTATGGGGCTATAGGTAAATGCTGCCATGTCCACCTTTATTTTAGCTTCTTTTCGTTTCCAAATTTTCCACGAAAGCCTTGGATATGTTTGTGGTAGAGTCTCTATGACGATTTAGTCTTTATTTTCTTCTCTCTGTGTTTTTTCTACCAGTTTTCCCATCAAGGAAACAGGAAAAGGAGGGTGCTGATTGGTGCTTAACCTCATTTTTACCTGTACATTCATGGGGTTCCCACAAGAGCAGGGAGGAGAGTAACCATACTTTGTCTCGTTTTCTGGTGTTTAGATCATCTCCATTATGAACAATTTCCTCTCTCTGAGTAATTGAAATCAGGGGGTTCTGCCCTGCCCCAATGATGCGGAGACATGGAGAATTTGGCCAATTGCCATTTCCATAACTCCCCTTCCCCCAGGCCTGTGGATGGAATGAGTTCATATGATTCGTGTGAACTGATTATTTTGACTGAAAAACAAGAGTGGCTATTTCTCCGTGCTTATGGGAACGGTTAAAAATAAGACATTGGAGCATTTGGTATTTGTGGTTTTGCCTATCATGTGGCTCTGCTGCCTGAAGAGCAGCCAGATGTGAAGCATGAACCATGCCATGGAGGGGGGTTCCTGAAAACCCAGTGGCATGCAACAATATCCTATGTTGGAATTCCATTTTGGGTTAGAGTTGCCATGTGATCTACACATACAAATACTCAAATGATGTGGCGTCTACAAACATGTACAGTCTCTCAGACCCAGAGCCTTCCCAGAAACCTTCGCTCTGGCACTGAAAACTCCAGCCTGACCAAAAGTATAATACCCCTTTGGCAGCAACATCAGTGAGCCAGATGGAGTCCATTTGGCAACTAAAGGGTGTAAATATGTGTTTAGATTCAGAGGGTCCCCCTGACAATGCTTACAATATGTTGGCATGAGTAAGCTAAGGAATTTCAATATCAGGCACTTTGGAAATTCTATGTTTAAGCAGAAGTAGGAGTATGACAAGCAGGCAAAGCCATCCAACCCGCAGCTAAGTCCTCCCCTCCTTTCTTCTGCTGCTGGGGTTAGGTGTCCCGAGCACATCCGTAGAGCAAGATGCTGCATTTACGGTTTTATTTTGAATTTCCTGGCTGTCTAGCAAGGTTTGTCTAAATCTCACTTTTAATCTCTCATAGTAGCTGCTGAGTTGGAGGAATGGAAAAAAAAAAAAGCCTGTTCTCATAATTTGCTGCCTGGCTGAAAGTTAGACATAAAAGAGCCACGGAGTCATACATCATGAGTCTCTGAAGCCTTTGAAAAATATCTAAGCAGGAGTGTCTGAGTGTGGAGGTTTCTTGAAAATCATCCTTTTCTTCCAGAGAGGGGAATGAGAGACCGTGGTGATGAGACTCGAGTCCTAGCTGGCTTAAGCCTGTCCATGAGTCTGGCGTGTCTGCTTACACTGGGTGGGGTATTTTTCCCCTTTTCTCTGAGCTGACATCAACTTGTATATAGGAACATTCAGCAGATTCCAGCTGCTGACTAGCCACAGGAAAAATAATCCCAACTGTGTGCT